CGAAGAAGCAGGTGATGACGATCCAGATCTTCTGGAGAAGGTCGCGCTATTGCAGGAGCAGTTGGACCTTGCCAGGGATCGCGCAACAGATGCCCAGATGGAATGCGAGTCGCTTCGACAGCAGTTGGCAAGCTCTGGGACAAGACAAGCTGACGAGGATGCGATGGGCGACTCGGATGAGCTGGCGGAAAGGTTGATGGAGATGCAAGAAGCTTTAGAAGCCGCGAGGGATCGTGCCACGGATGCTGAGATGGAATGTGAGGCCTTGCGGTCAAAACTGCATCACGCTGCCACCGTGCAGCTGACGGAGAACGTCGTGTTGCAAGATGGAAAAACTAGCCGCGAGCTGGAGCTGGAGCGGCAGATTGCTGACTTGATGTCGGACCTTCACTGCATGAAGCATTCAAAGGCTTAGCTTCCTGTTGTTGTCCACCCAGTTCCCCTCTCGCGAGATGTCCTTGAGGATCTCCTTCGGAAGCAAGACCGAGGACAGTGCGCCATTGCATTGGATACAGCTCCTCTGCCCCAGCTGACGTCCACTATGTCAGCATGCCGCGACCAAAGACCGCACAGGTTTCCTCCGTTGCCTTGCGTTAGTGTTGAGGCCAGGGGAGTGGGAATGCTAGTAACCAGTTGTGGCATGTAGGGTTGCGATAAGGGTTGAATTCTTTAGCGACGCAGTAATTGTTGTTGGAGTCGCTAGGCGACGCTTCGGGAGGCTGCGGTGTGCCATGGTTGTTCTGAGAAGCTTGACTGTTCGTCATCCGCACTACAGAGTACACCGTGGATTTGGGACCTAAGCACCCCACCCTGGAAATTGTTGAAATTTAACTCCTGTCACAATACTCGTAGGGCACCTCACCGTGGTATCTGCTGTAGCAGCCTAGGTGCTAACCAAGATGATTTTAAGATCTGTTCGAGGTACCCTGTGCCATAATTTTTCCAGGACTCTAGGATAATAACGACACTCATCATTATGCCTGCACAAACCCGGTGTAAATCCACTTTCCATTCCATTGTCCATTTTCTTGTCCATTTGTTTCTGTTTCTTGGGGAAATATCCCTTTCAAATCCTATATGATCCCTATATAACACCCTGTGAAACCTTCAAAAACCTTATATTGTCATACCCAAATTTCAGCCCGTACAGTCCCTGTGCAGCACGGCGTTTATACGGAGCTGGTGACTGTTCTGGATGCGCATGCTGCCTCACGGGGGAGCTCCTGAAAACAGGGCCGCCTCACTGAACCGAGCATTAATACGAACTACTCCTGCGGGACTAGGTAGGGAGGTTGAATATGTTGAGACCCCCGGAGGTCGATTCGAACATAAGATTCAAAGTCTCAGCCTTATCGCTTCATACTCAACCTTCTAGCGCGCCCTGATGAAGCTATTCCGGGTACCTTTGCACCCTACCCCATCAAATCCTAAATCCTGGTGCTGCCTGTCCCTCAAGCTTGCAGGGTTTGGGGTTTATAAGGTTAAGGGCTTATGGGGGAAGACATCAGCTTCCCCATTCAACCCTATAGCTTATCCGCAAGGCAAATTTTCGTGCTGCACTGTGCCGTAGTCGCATAAGCTCGAACACGTGGGACAATTGCACGCATAATGCTTACATTGCTGTTGTGGGACAACATGCCGAAACCACTCCTTTTACTATGTATATATATATACTGTATATACTCTCGTAGTTCATGACCATAGGATACACTGATCCCTTGTCACACTCATGCCATCCGCATAACATGTCCCCAATTTCCTGAAGCCGCTAAAACCCAAATATCTGTCATTGCCATTATTAACAGTGGCTTGAATTTTCTTTCCCACTCCCGTTATTGTTATTCTTAACAAAAGTTGCCTTCTTTTCCATTGCTCCCTAAACCCTAGACCCCAGGTCCCATGACATAATTATGCAACTCGTATACACCCAAAACCCTAAGCCCGTTAAAGGGACCCTTTTGAGACGGTTGGTCCTAAGAACTTGCTGGTGGTTACTTACCCTACAGTAAACCCTATCCTCATAAACCCCAAGTTTCCATATCTTTTTCCATTTGTCCATTCGATGTTCCATTACCTGGAGTAGTATCCCCAAACCCTATATAATCAATCTATAACCCCCTGTATAACACCTATATACCCCTAACAAATAGCATCAAGATGGCTCTACCGCGGCTTGAGCTGCTGGTCTTTGTTTGCGCTTTAGTGCTGCAGGGTGCTGCCTGGCGGGAGCTATCAGGGCTTAGAGTCTATAGTCCCCCTTAAGTAGATAGAATACGACTTTGGGTATATTAGAATAAAATCCCATATACCCCATATTCTATCGACTTAAGGGGGACCATAGAGTTTGAGGTTTCGGGTCCCCTGACTTGGAGACATTCTCTGGCCGGTCGGGGTTCAGGGTTCAGGATCAGCGGAGTGGACGTCAGGACCTAGGTAAGAAAGTATTGAAATTATAACCAAATTATCGGCTATATCCCTACAGGTACGCTGATGGATAACACTTGTTTTTTCGTGCTTGGCCTACTCAGGGCTCATAAGAATAGTACTTCTCATGAGGGTTAGGCAGGCATTTTAGGTGTTTAGAGTTTGAAGTTGTAGGGGTTTAGGCGTCCAGTGTTTGGGGGTCTGAGGGCTGTATGGCTGTAACATCTCAAGGTCAAAAAGTTTCAATTCTAGCGTTGAGGGTTTAACACCCACGAGATCAGGACTTTCTGGGGACTTCCTTGGGACCAGCTGCGGTTTTTAGGTCTTTGACGCTCTACAAAGCCCAGGGGAAGCACGTCAAGCATGCAACTCCTTATATGCGGTTTGTGCATGCGAAGCCCTAAACCCTAAACCTAAACCCTAACCCTAAACCTAAACCCTAAACCCTAACCCTAAACCCTAAACACTACAACGGGCTGGGTCATGATTCCACGGGGCTCCTGTCCACCTGTGCAGGGATTGGGGCCTATGGGCTTTGAAGCGGTAAGTCTTGCTTCATATGTTTGGGCGTATGCAAAAGCAAGAACAGCTTGGACTTATTAGACCACCCAGGGTAACAGGGAGTGAGAACAGGGTTTGTTACCCTCAACCCGAAAACATAAATCCCAAGCCCTGCTCTTTTGACCCTAGTCCTATGATGCTTGGGTCAGCTCAGGCCTACATGCAGTTCTACGATGCTTTTGCTCATTATTTCTCTTCGGGAGGTGGCAAAGATGCGGAATCAGCAGATGTGGAGACGGAGCCGGAGGACGTGGTTGAGGTCCTCCATCAGTATTCAAATTGGGCGTAGTGGTTCGAAAGCACCACCCAAAAGGTGGTTGAAGGCAAGGGCCGCTATGTCATCCTTTGGGCTTTGGAAGGCATTCTTCAGGGCAACAGGCATCCAGGGATTCGATTAACCGAAGCTGAGGTCCGAGAGTTTATGTCAGCAGACTGCGACGGGCCACCCGCGCGACTGTGGCATGTGGCGCTCTCCCCCTCCGGCCATGCACAGTGTTTGGCTCTGAGGCATTGCAAATCGGGCTGTCTCAAAAAAGTAGAGCCCAGTAACAATATGCGTTTTGCCTAATTTGTCTGTAGAGGGAGGCATCAAAGCGATATCTTGAAACAGAAGCTGGCAACCAGGATCTCAATCTGCACGATCCACCCAAGACTTACCAAACCTCCCTTCAAACATAGACTATGGGGGCTATATAGGGGTTAAACTGGGATAATGGAAAATAAAATGGAAACTGTCATTTAGGGTTTAGGGTCTGCAGGGCCTGGAAGAGGGAATGGTTTTGGGCCGAGGTTTAGGACAAGCAGCCTGCTTATCTTTCCCAGGACATGTGTTTGTGCATAATTACATTACATATTTATATACATATACACACATGCTCGTATATGTACATCTATGTATATCTGTTTATACATACATATATTTATATGCACATACACCGTTCTGTGAGGAGTGGGTAACTGCAGGAAGACCGTCATAGTGGAAAGCTGCGGAGCATTCCCAGGACTCAATTCTTCGGAGCCCTTTACCGCCGTTGCAAGTCCTTCTCTCCTGGGAGCTCTGCACAAACCAGGGGTTCAGGTAGGGTTTAGGGCTTAGGGACCCTACATCCCCAGATCGAACCTTCCACCCACGAGCCAGAAAATTTGAATCCCCCAAAAGGCAAGTCTGCGAACCGAACCTTAAGCCCCTAAACCCCGTGAACCTTTACATATCCTTGTACGTCCTCATGTAACACCTACAGACTCTTGAAAGGGAAGCCTGCGAAAATAAATCCTTGTAGGCCTCAGATGCAGAGACCCGGCCAGTCGGGCCGCGAAGGTGAAAGTACGGCACCTATGATGTGGCTTGGGGCATTTGCGGGTTTCCCAAAATTAGGGGTACCATTTTCGGGGTCCCCATAATAAGGATAATCGTATTGAGGTATCTATTGTATTGGTCCCCCCTATTTTGAGAAATTACAGTTTCCGGGAAACAATGTCAAGTATTGTGGAACCAAATCCTTCCAGACAGCTTCTAGAATTATGGTGTAACGGCCAGTATGTCTAGGTGGTTGTTGACATAGGGCTTAGGGTGTTTGTTTGAGTCTATGCAGGGTGCTGCTGAATGGTATCTTACTTTTTTGTATGCAGAGAACCTAATACACATTCGAAAGAATCCTTTCTTAGCACCACAGGCAATATTCAAGCAAGCTACCTACGTTTACAGCTTCACGCTTGAGTTTTGTGGGCTTATGTTTTGTAAAGCTAGGGGTGTAGTCCAGGGCCTGGGGTTTTGCATCTATGTATCTTCAACGATTTAATCATGCAACGTCCCACACAGCACTCCACATGTAGGGCTTTGATACTTTCATACCGCCGACTTGTGATTCAGGTATGGGCGAGTGTCATGCGACATGCTACGGCATGCAGAACCTTGGGCCATTGCTAAGTTGGTTGTCTCTTTTTTCCATCATTTGGGGTTTCGGGTTTTGAGACTGGCTTTCGGCAAAAGCCTCAAGCACACACACTTTTGGGTTGCCACCATCTCAGGCAGAGACGGGATCACCATAGAAAGGACACAAAGGCTGCCCTAGGGACCCTTCCCTACACTATACCAGCTGCAGCGTTTGAGGTTATATGCGGGCGAAAGCCCATGTCCTTCTCATTCCCACGGGGTCTGATAAGTTGCGCAACCGTCACCACTTCTTTATTATACCTCATGGCGCTGAAAAGTAAACCCAGACCTTTTTATTTTATTTTTTTTTCATCATTCTAGACCCCTTATTAATACACCCCCCTCCTTAATAGGGACTATCATAGGGATCCGAATATTATAAGGCCCTTAAAGAAGGGAGGTTATTTAATCACGGGTCTACATTAACCCCTAAACCCTAAACCCTAAATAGTAGTTATTGCAAGAAATAGTAGTTTCCATTTTCCTTTCCATTAACCCTATATAATCCCTATATCCCCCCTATAGTACTATATTACCCCCCCTAAACCCTTAACCCTAAACCCTTAACCCTAAACCCTAAACCCCAAATCCTTAACCCTAAACCCTAGACCTGAAACCCTAAACGCTAAACCCTTAACCCTAAACCCTAGACCTGAAACCCTAAACGCTAAACCCTAAACCCTTAACCCCCTCAACGGCCGGTAAAATCCACGAAGGAAGGCGGTTTCGTGGATCTATGCTCAGATGACGAATGCAGCGAGCCAGGCTGCCAAAGATTTGGGATCGTGCCGGAGGGACACTTGGTAGTTTAGGGGTTTAGGGTGTAGGGGTTTTGTGGGTTTAGGGGTTTAGGGGTTTAGGGGTTTAGTGGGTTAGGGGTTTAGGGGTTTGGGGTTTTGGGTTTGGGGGTTAAGGGTTAAGGGTTAGCTTAGGGATCTAAATAGCCCAACATAGGTAACATTTTACATGCTCTGGCCCAATGTAGGTATTCTTTGTATACTTGGATTTGTAGGGGTTTCCAAAAAAGGACCCATACATCCGTAACATATTACAATCTTTACTATGCTCCCACAAAACAGGTATATACCTCCAATATATTACAATCTTTGCTATGTTCCAGAAAACAGGTATATACCACCAAAATGGTTTAGTCCTTCTTATGGGTATTTTGGGGCCGAAGGCCTTTACCCCTGCTGGTGGGCAACCCAGAAGGTATCCCCTCTGTCCGGCTGTCCGGTATATTTTATCCAAGCCCTAACTCCTGTACTCTGCTCCCTTAATTAACTTACCGAAATCTTGGATTTTCAAACCCCAAAGCCAAAGCCTTAAGTACTTATCCCCAAACCCCTGAAGCATGAACCCTAAACCCTAAACCCTATGTAGTCCGCTGTATAATTCCCATTAAGATCCCCTATATAGCCGCCCTTGAATCCCAGGAGAGTGCGGAATGAGTTTTACTGGCTTTGCTGGGGCGTCCTGGCGGTGCATCAAGCGCTCAGACATGCCAAAGTGAAGAAAGGTCGCAGCGCCTTTTTGGGAGACGGGAATTTATTCGGGTTTAGGGTCTAGGGTTTAGGGATAGTATAGGGTTATATAGGGATAATGGAAAAGAAAATGGAATCTACTATTTGGGGTTGAGGGTTGGGGTAAGATAGGGTAATATAGGGTTATATAGGGATAGTTAAAAGAAATGGGGAACCACTATTTGGGGTTCAGGGTTTAGGGTTAACAGTCTGGGCCTTGTGTTGTAGCTATGAAAAGCTCTTAGCTAAAACGTGCACACCATTGCCCGCCACAAGCCTTTGCTCAATAAGCGCAGGCCATGTCACCCCCAAAGCCCGCCCCAACCCGGGCCTTCAGAAACCCTAAGCCCTAAACCCTAACATGCAGAAGCCGCGTAAGCACCAACATGATCCTAGGATGGGTTTAGGTTTCCTGAATCAAAAGGACATTTGTGATTTTCAGGCTGCTACCTTAGCTTATCACTCTCACACCTAAACTCGAGCCGAAGTGGGCCCGTGAAATCTGCATGCATCACATTTTGCTCTCTGCAGAGACATCATTCAGAAAATAGGAGTCAGCCCCCTACAGCCGCAGCCATTCAATGCGACCCCTGATCCCACATCTCTGGACTCTATACCCGATGCGCCCCCGAACACAAACTTGTACAATCTAGGATCGGCCAACATGCCGCATAGGGGCCAATGATGGATCCCTCGAGGAAGCGCCGGGAGGCCAGGGCTCCCTCTGCTGTTGTTGCTGCACCGTTATCATTTCGGTTTAGGGTTTAATGTTTAGGGTGCAGGGTTTAGAGTAGGGAAAAAGGGAATAATGTATGCAGGGATTATATGCGGATTTTTCCTACATTCCCTACTATAGTCGCCAGTAAGTCATCCGTTTCTGAGTCCATCGATTGATTTGCCAGGCCCTTATTCGGCAAAAAGCCCTCGAAACTGGTACTCATCTTGCCAGTTGCTTGTCGTGGTTTTTAAGTTCTGTACGCGAAAATAACGCGGTCACTATACTTGGACTCCTGCAAAACACCCGGTAATTCGGGCACACTCCCAGACATTGATGGAGGAAGTCTTGCATGCTCTCAGCACCATCAGCTGCCATCCTTGGTGCGGCCTAAACGCTAAACCCTTTATGAGCTATAGTCTAAGCTCACAGTATCTCCCCGAATAACCCCTATAAAGTCCCCATATAAATCCCTTCAAGGAGAGTAGACTATAGTATAGTATATGTACCCATATGATGGTAACCTAACTCAAGTTCCTTAGCAGAAGCCCAGCCATCTTAAGCATAGTTGCCCGTGCACTACCAGGCCGGCGCGAAATCGCTGAGGCCCCAAGCGGTTCAGGGCTTGGCGTTACGGGTTTAGGGTTCAGATCTTACGCTTTGAGGTGGCAAAGCTTGTTACTTTTGCTTGGTACCCCAGTAGTATGCTTTCTCCCTTTCATTTTGGGTCTCCTTGTTAAGCTGAACATTAGGAAAAAGGGTACCTTTCTTATTAAAGCGCTGGGGAACATTTTCTCGCAACTTCTCAGCATTGTTGATGGGGTTTTAGGAGCTTCAAGTCGTTCGTTATTTGTTTCAGCGGGGCTTCCAATGAGAGAAAGGTTCATGAGGAAAACGGGAGTTTAGTTGCATTTTCCGATTTCACCAAAGTTGGATGCTTTTCATGGGCCCTGATCGATCAGGGCTTTTTCGTTATAACCATCAGGTGTTTAGGCGTCTGTCTGTCTGTCTGTCAGTCTGTCGGTCGAAAACTCACATCTATCGGGGCATCCTGGCAAAGGGCATTGATGCCTGTAAGCCCAGAGTGAACTCCACAGAAGACCGCCAATGTTAGGAGACTATCTGTTTTTTCTGTCTTACATGGGCCCTCCAAGATTCCTTTAAGCAAGGGAGCACCTATCTGAATCCACACCTCAGGGAGCATCGGCAGCTTGCACTTTTTCTTCCCTCTGCCAGACACTCTGCCAGCAGCACGCAGGGTGCTCTCTTGCGGCCTTTTGGATGATGATGCGTGCCGCCAAACTTGCCTTAAGATTCCCCATTCAGGCCCTAGGGTTTTGGGTTTAGGGTCTTCGGTTTGGGTTTAGGGTTTAGGGTTTTGGCTTTAGGGTCTTGAGTACACATATCTAGCCTGCACGATCTTCGTGCAAAAGCTCTACACTTGCTGGTGGTCAGGAGGGAATGCAGGAATCTGTCCCTCTACTAGTCCAGTTTTTACTTTCCTTTCCTTACCACTAGTAAGCTAAACGGCAGAGTGTTTGCCAGGTTAGATAGCTGGAAGTGGCGGCGAAGAACGTGGAGGTCCAATCTTGAGACTAGGATTTAGGCGCTTATGGTTTTAAGATTGAAGTTTAAGGGTTGAAGATTAAGGGTGTAGGGTTGGTGTCCATAGGCAAAGAAAAGATTAGCTACAGACCCCTTAATGAGACCCAGCCCGACGATGAACATCTTCTGGATCTAAGGCTACAGAATGGGGTGGGGCTGGCATGAGCTAGGCCAGCTTTAAAGGAACTTGGTGGGGAGCCGCAAACAGGGAACCCCAAGAATATAATAGAATACAAGGACCCTAGTAGGTATATTCCTACTTTATTCCTACTATATTCTTGGGGTTCCCTGTTTGGGTTCCCGATAAAGTCCCTTTAAGTTTTGGGAAGAGTTGACAAGTTTGAGGCTTGTGGGCCTATCCTCATCTTCATGCACCCTTGTCTTTCTAGTCTTGGTAGCGAGAGTACTAAATAATAGTAGTAGTAGTAGTAGTAGTAGTAGTAGTGGTAGTGGTAGTAGTAGTAGTAGTAGTAGGAGGAGGACGAGCACGAGTAATTCTGGCAGTAATAGTCATTTCAATTGGGATAAGCACCAGTAGCAATGATAGTAGCGGTACTAGTCAGAGTTGGCTCCTAGTCATGGAGCATTACCTTTGAACCGAAGTCACTGCTGCATCAGGCGCTAGCCGGCTTCTGCGCTTCCAGTGCTGAAGCGGGATGTTCAAGACCCTCAACCCTAAAAGCCAACCTCCTGCTAAAGTCATACATTTTGGGAGCAGCTGCAATTGGGATCGGCCTGCTGCGCAGAGTGGACAGCTGGGCTTGGGAAGCATCAGCTCAAGGTGTTGGATTCGGGGGGTGATGCAAGAGAAATTTCATCCCCATGTCCCGAAATTCATGCCAGAACTTTTGTGATATCTGAGATTGATCCCCGAACAAGACAACGCTAAATCCAAACCTAAACGCACCAAACCGCAAGGTGAGCGGAACTCGTCTCCAAGCTCTCCTAATGGCGCTGGGGTAGCTTGCGCAATCTGGGAATCTATCTGAATCACTAGAATCACCCTCATCTTTCTGAGGCATTCTTGTTTTTCTGTGCAGTTTCCACAATTCCCTTGCGGTCTGTTTTGAAAAGCCACCATGTCACGTTCCATTCCCATGACAGAGGTAAAGCGGTACCATTTCGGGGCTGCAGGTAGGGAAACTGAGCCACAGTGAATTTTGTTCACTGCTTTTTCGGCCCATACGTTACTCATTGAAAGGTTGCCTTGCAGCCTCAATACAGCCGCCAGTCCGAGCTGATTTGGACTCTGAACCCTGGACAATAAACCTTAGCCCCCAACCCCAGGCCACAGCCCCAATTCCAAAACAAGCGGAGCTTGTATTTCCCTGTATCACGTTGCAGGGGGCTCATAATCCACGTACAATGCCTGTATAGCGAACATGTTTACCACTTCTCTGCTTCTAAGAAACCAACCCTAAGCCCTAGATTCTAGATCCGAATAAGCCCTTCCCCAACCTCGGACCCCTAAACCAAAATCCGTAAGCACCAAACCTATGTCGGCTGCATTGCTTGTTTCATGGAGAGTTGAGGCCTTGGGTTTTTTCAGGGGACTCCTAAGGAGTGTACGTTTGGCTGACTGTGGAAAAGGCTGTAGAAAAAGAAGTCTATGGTCTATTACACCGTCTCCAGGAACGGTGGTTGTCAAAATTGTGGTCCCTTTTTGGGTACCCTAGATTATTAGGTGCCGTTTTATAATAGGGATCCAAGAAGCGCCCTAATTTTGACAACCACCCATTTATATCCTCAGCCCCAAAGCATCTCCTGCGGACAGTTTGGCTGCACTGGCCCTCCAAAGCCTGGCATCTTGGCTCAGTCGAGCAGCCTTGTGACTGGATATACGATTGTCCTTAAGGCCCAAAACAGAGCAAGCTCATGTCCTTTTTTGGTTGCAGTAAGAAGAACACGCAGCGTTCTTACTTGGTTCAGCCACCCCAATTCAAAAACACCAC